AGACAAGAAGAGCTGCCGAGGGAGGTCTTAAACTTTCATCCCTAGAGCGAGGCTCCGGATTCTCAGAGAGGAGGAGGAAAAGCACCTTCTCTCCAACCTGGGCTTGGACCAAGGGCTGCTGCTCTGTGGAGAGACTGCCATCTGAGACCTGCTGCAAGTGAGCAATCAGACTGTTTATTAGGTAGACACACATTGTCAAAAGACAAAACTACAGCGAATTTAGTGTAAAGGTCAAGTTGTCTGGGTGGGGTGTTTTGTTTTTTCTGTGCTGGGGATGGAGGTCCAGGGACTTGCACAGGTTTAGCACACTCTCTCAATGAGCCACAGCCTAGTTCTAAATAGCTTTTATTTGGGAACCAATCCATACCTCATTAATATAAAATAATACATGTCCTGATTTGCTGAGCAGCAGAGGTTGACTTTGTAGACAGAAAAGGGCTGAGTAAGGCAGAGGCCACACTGAGGAGCAGCTTTCTTGCCCAGGTTAAACAGAGGGGACCTCCTTTATTCACTGGCTCAGGTGGGCTGGAACCTCCTGGTTTTTTAGGAAAAATGGCCCACCTCAAAGTTCAGTTTGATGACATGGCCCTAACCTGAGTGACTGGTTTGCTGGTGTCCAGTACAGAAAATTGCTCCAAACCAGAGGCCTCTTAGAACTGTGTTTAACAGGACTGTGCCATCTCATTAATGAACTGATGGGGGATTACTAAGCTATATTACAGTTGTACCTAAATAATCAGCCTGAATCTAAGCATTAGTTTTAATAGCCAAGAGTGTACTAGAACCCAAGAGCTCATTCCTTCATATAGCTCAGAGAACTATGTTCCCAAGCCCAGCCCCACCCGTACTTTTATTCAAAACCCTTTCTCCAGCCTCAATTGGGGAAGCACGAGTTTGGATCCACCCTTATCTTATCAGAGAATCTTGCCCTTTGATCCCTGTGCCTAAAATATCTCAAACAGTATACACTGCATTCAGCTTTGATTTACTATTTGAAGCACTCCCACATTCATTCATTATCTTGGGTGGAGGGCAGATTGAGTAGTTAGGAATCAAGGTCAAGTGCCCAAGTCAGGAAGTTTGTTTGCATTAGAAACAGTATTTTTTTTTTTTAGTTGCAAGATTAAATAAAAGTCAATAATCCAAATTTTGTCCATTTTGTAAAAGCTATTTCCTCAAATCATGCCTTTCCCTTTAAATGGTACCCATCTTGATCCCCGCTGCTGTTCCTGTAGTGAGATCACTTTGAGGCTAATATTGCACTGTTTTCTTATTTTTTCATTCCTTTATTTAATGATACAGGGTCTCATTAAGTTGCCCAGGCAGGCCTTGAATCCAAAGTGTTTCTGCATCAGCCTCTTGGGGAACCAGATTGCCAGCCTCTGTTAACAGCCCTGGCTCTGGCAGTTTGTAGAACGTGTCAGGTACGTTTTCTCTTATTTTAACCCTTGTCTTTACATCTAAAGTATGTATATTTTAGACAACATGTAGATTAAATAAGTCCATCCATGGTACATCACTGGTACACACTTGCCTGGTGTGTCCATTTCTCTTCCTGCTGTTGTGGTGATGAAGAAATATTCTGATAATACCAACCAAGGGTTAGCTCACAGTTCAAGATCCAGCCCCAAGAGGGGAAGTCAAGGCAGCTGGACTTGGAGCAGCTGCTCACATTATGTCTGCAGGTAGCAGAGAGCAATGACTGTGCACTGCTTGGCTTTCTCCTTTTACACAATCCAGGATCCTCTGCTCAGGTCCCGCCCACATGAACAAAATCAAGAAAATCCCCAACAGACATGCCAGAGACCTTTCTCCAAGGTCTGTCAGGTTAACATTTAACACTGACCAGCACACTGTAAGAAACATTAAATATTAGTCTTTCAAACTCTATAAAACTTAGAACTTGGTTTATGACAGGAATTCTAATCTTTTAATCCCACCACACCCTCTAAGACTTTTGCTTAAGGAAGGAAAGGCCATGGTGCGTTCCTGAACCTGATGGCCTGGGGCGGTAGAGCTCTTCTCTCTTCTGGCTGAATCTTTTAAACTAGCCAACACTGAAAAATTGTGACATTATGTAGATTTTAGACAACATGGGGAAAAGACAGCACTGTTGCATTAGGGATAAATAATAAAATCCTACCAGCTTCCAGGCCCACGTGCTGGGTGACAGGCCACGTAACCCACCCTTTGTGCAAAAGTCAAGTCTGCCTTTTCTTTTGTCCTCCCATTCTCTGAGCACTGATGAGGTCCTTGGACCTCAGACTTTATTTCTAACTGATAGGTAAAAATGTTGGGAGAGTGGACAGCACGAGGAGGCAGCAAGGCACAGATGGAATTCTCAGCGGGATACAGCTTTATTTCGCACGGGACACGTTCCCTCGGGGAAGGGAAAGATGTCAGGGAAGGGAAAGATGTCAGGGAAGGGAAGGGAAAGATGTCCAGGAAGGGAAGGGAAGGGAAAGATGTCCAGGAAGGGAAGGGAAGGGAAAGATGTCCGGGAAGGGAAGGGAAGGGAAGGGAAAGATGTCAGGGAAGGGAAGGGCAGGGAAGGGAAAGATGTCAGGGCGGACTTTATATATGGGGGCTTTAGGGTGTAGAAGGGGGGAATATTTGGGGGAGAAATCAGGGAGGGGGAAGCAGGAAAAGCAGGTAGGATTAGGGTCTGGAAGTGTTTACTTTTTCCCTCTTAAGATAAGAGAAAAGCTGTTGTGATAAACAACTTCTAAAATCTCTGGTTATCAGGTAGAATCTGCTTATCTTATCTTTGGAGATCAGAGGAAAGGCAGGCTGCTTCTCAGCAGAGTTTGTTTCCCTTGACTTCAAAGGTCAAGGTGAGGTCCCTGTTGGGGAGGGGGGAAACTGCTGCTGTTTGGAACCCTAACACTAACAATACCCTGGCTTCAAATTACAGTAACACACACTGCCCCACAGCATCCATAAACCATTAAACAGGATGGCATTCTTGAATGCTTTGAAGTAAACAAAAATATGAGATGTATTGTTATAACTCATTCGTGGCGTTACTACATCAATATTACAAAAATCTGACTTAAATTTAGTTTTTAAGAGTGGTCCCAAACTTGGAGGACACTCATTCCCCCACATATCCATTTGAACCCTCTGTCTCTTGGAACTGTGCTGATGAACTATGTCTGGAGTTCTGTCCCTGAACTGTCCTTGAGTCAGACCCTACTGGTGATTTTATTAAAAATGGTTTTTCCAGCTTCCACTGGGGAAGTGCACGCTTGACTCCACCCTACCTCAGTAGCCCAAGAGCCTTTCAATCTCTAGATCTAGAATCTCATTCACCCAAGGCCAGATGTCCTTCCCAATCTTCTCTGTGTGCAATGAAGTTGGGTGTGTCCTATTTCAGCACTTTGATATGTTATGTTAATTCTCAAGAATACCCACATTTGGTCATAATCTTTTGGGTGGAGTACCAAATTGAAGTTGCCAAGGAAACACCCCAGTCATATACCCCATCATAAGGCACAAGTTCATAGAGTTTGCAAAGGTTAATTAAAAGACATTGGTCTAGGTTATGCCCATTTTATAAACATCATTCCTGCACTCACTGGCATAGGATCGCACAGTGGACAGGGAACACCTTGGACCGGAAAGACAGAATAAGGAGGAGAGGCTGGGGCTGGAGAGCTGGCTCAGCAGCTAAGAGCACCTGCAGAGGGGGAGCAGCTCCCAGCACCCACATGACCACTCACAACTGTCATAGCTCCAGTTCCAGAGGATCCAGCGCCCTCTTCTGGCCTCCATGGGTACTGCATGAGCATGGTGCACATATACACATATAGGCAGAATATTAATACACATAAAATAAAAATAACACTTTTTTTGAGTTCCTTGGTCAAAGGTAATGCTGTATGTAATAGCAAGCAGGCCTGTCATCAAGTTTCTGCCTTGACTTCCCTCAGTGATGGACTGACTTGGAACTGTAAGTTGAAATAAACCCTTTCCTCTCCTAAAAAAAACAAATAACACTTTTTAAAGAAAAGAATTAAAAGATACAATGGAAAAAATACTTAAAGATGACAAGCTTTCACACTTTATACATATATGGAGATGGGGTGTTCTGGGGAATAAACTCTGAGCGTGGGGAGGGGTGTGGTGTGTAGTGAGGTACGTATGTGGGGGGGCAGGGTGAATGTGTGTATGGTGTGGTCTGTATGTGTGTATGTATGTGCCATCAAACTACCCCTCAACCTGAATACAGTCTTGAGTTTATCTTCAATATGAAATACTTGCTTGTGATAATTGCTCCAATAAAGGAGTGACCGGTGTGATGGTTGCCCGTCTATAATTCCAGCTGAGGAAGGAGAATTGAGACCAGCCTGGGCTACACAGTGAGGGCCCATCTCTATCAATCAGTCATTTATCAGAACTCTACAGTCGAGGTTCTATGCTTTAAAAGTCTCATCCTGCCCCTCCAATTCTGGTCTCTCCGCTCCCCTCCTCAGGCACTGGGACACGGGCGGAGTAAACTGTCTGAATTTGCTGGCATGAATGCAGATTGAAGCCTGATCAGCTGAAAGGCATTAAACAATCGATGGGGCATTGGTCAAACTGACTCTTAGAAAATTGGCATTTTGCAAGGTAGGAGGGAAGGCACCGGCCAGGAAGAGGCCTGGGAGTCGTCCTTACAGGCTGGGGGGCTCCCGGGGACACTGAGGATGGGAGTGGCTGGGGGGCTCCCGGGGACACTGAGGATGGGAGTGGGGGTTCTGCTCTTCAGTGCCTGTGAGCTGTGTCCTGTAGGACAACACAGCCAAAGCTCAGTGTCACGGAGCTGAGGCAGGGACACAGGAATGACTGGGTCCTCTGCCGTGGCGCTTCAGAAGGAGGGGCAGACCTGGCTGGGAGCACACTGTTGGGAGAAAGACCAGGACAGGCTGCTTAGGGATGACTGTGTTCACTCAGCTGCACCAAAGGAGCTTGGGAAACAAGAGCACTGTCTTCCTCAGGGAGAACAAAAATGTGCATACTACACACAGATACACATTCACCACACCCCGCCCCCACACCCCACACACCCCACCCATTCATACCACCCACCCACACACACATGCTGATTTACCACACAACACATCACACACACACCACCCCACACCACCCACGCTGGGTCCACCACACAACATATAGACTACACGACACCCCCCCACCGCACGCTCACACACATGCGCACACACACACACGCACGCACGTGCGCACACACGCTTACACTCACACACACACACACGCACACACCACTTCTGTCTTCCCCAGGTTTTCTGCTTTCTCGACCTCAAGGAATGGATAGGAGGATTGCTGCCCTGTTTTCCCTGTAGCGCTGTTCTGTCCTGCAGCTGCGGTGGCCTGAGAAGAGCCTGGTCTTGGCCTGTCATCCCTGCAGAAGATGCCAGTCCCCAGTGACTGAAGGCAGATACACGGGCCTCCATCCACCCAAAGGCTCCCACAGGAGACATATTTTCCAATTCTTCCATTAAAAGAGAATTGTAACGCCAGATGTGGTGACTCACCTATAATCCCTGCACTCCAGAGGCCCAGACGAGATCATGAGTTCCAGGTCAGCCTAGGGCTACATAGCAAGGCCTTTTCACAAGTATGGTGGTACACGCTTTTAATCTCAGTTCTTGAGAGGCAGAGGTAGGAAGATCTGAGTTTAGGGCCAGCCTGGTTTACATATGGAGATCCAGGCCAGCCAGGGATACATAGGGAGACCCTGTCTGAAAAATATTAAATAGAATTAAAAAATATGCTGGGGATGCAGCTCGGTTGGTAGGGTGCCTGCCCAGTATGGACAAAGCCCTGGGTTTGATCCCTGGCATCAAATAAAACAGGGCATGGTGGCACGTACCTGTGATCTCAGCACTCAGAAGGTTGAAGCAGGAGGATCAGAAGTTCGAGGTGACCCTTGACTACATAGTGAGTTCAAGATCACCCTGGGTTCCATGAGACCCTGTCTCAATAAACTAAAAAAGAGGATTGTTTCCTCATCACAGAGATTCCTTTCTTTCCATAAAGTGTTGTCTGTTAAAATGTAAAACAGGAGGAAAACAGACAGAAAAAACCCCAAAGTGTGTCCTGACTTCCTCTGAGAAGCAGCAAAATGAGAGAGAGGTCCAGGGGGAAAATGGAAGGTTCATCCCGGTCATCTTTGAATATTTGGAAGTGAGAGTGGTTCAGAGGAAGAACAGGTCATCATTGGACTGGAAATTTTCTAACCACTTAAAAAAACACAAAGAACAAATAGAGTCAGGCCTGGTGCACCTCCTGTAGTCCCAGCACTCAGGAGGCTGAGGCCAGCCAGAACTACATAGAGAGGCTGTTTCATGAACTCCTTCCCTGTGGCAATTTAAACAATGCCTGCTTCCCCACCCCCCAGAAGGACAGCAATGAGCCAAAGTTCGATTCCGCCAAAGTCTAACTCAGTGACACCCAGTAAGAAGAAACCCCATGGGTGGGGAAGAGTGCTTGTGGGAAAGTGCCAAAGGGGCCCACAGGGCCCTGGTCATTCTCTCTGCTGCCCCAGGCCTGCCCACATGGCAGTGGCTCCTCTGGAGGATCGGACACTCAGGCTCTGCCTCAGGCACTGAAGAGCTCGGTCTGCCCAAAAGTGGTTGGTTAAGTCACTTTGAAATGTTTCCAAACACTGACGTCTTTGGCTCCCTGCATGACATATGCTTTGCTGTCATATGAATTTGGAGGGAAGTCTACCTCCCTTGGGAAAGGTCACCTCATACTCCACCAGACCCCACAGGGAGCCACTGGCCTCAAGGTCTGGACTCAGCACATTTATGAATCTAAGATTGTTAGACACTCAGAGCTCCAGCAGTGGCAAGACTGGCCTTCCAGCTGATCTCAGAAGCTTCCTGTCCACACAGCTCCACTCTATAGCATCGGACCTCCTGTACCTCCCTGCCTGCTGGCTGCACCCATCTCAGTCCTGACATCTCTCAGAGCCTGGTCCACTCAGACCCAGCAGGAGGAGAGTGGGGCTCACTGGCTGTGAGGTTCTCTTCTGTCCAGGTCCCCGGGAGGCTTGTCTCTTTATTCGCTCTCTTTAAAGAAGTCTCTTTGTACAGCAGCAGGCCATGGCACTAGGGAAACCATGTTTAGCTGTCTCCTAAAACAGGGCTCTACTGGGCTTACCTTAGCGGTGGAAGCACATTGCCTCATCGAGGGACGGAGCAGGAGCATGTGGCTTTCACAGGCTTACCACGCCCACCAAAGGTGCTCCCTCAGGCCCTCAGTTCTTACTGCCCTCTTGCAGGAGAGTACACTGATGTTTCTAGACTAGACAGCACTGCAGCTCAGGGCCAGGACTAGTCTCAGGTCAGGCACTCCCCACCAGCACCTTCTGAGAAGACAGTCCTCTGGGAATGGCCACCTGCAGTTAGAGGTCAGTCTTACAGGAGGGGGGGAAATGTGGAGCCCAAACCAGGGAACAGTGCCTCCCACCTTCCATCGGGGTCCTCCCACATCAATTAAGACAGTCTAGACAATCCTCCACAGACACACCCATAGTCAACCTGATCTAGACAATCCCAGGTGATTGTGGCAAATTGACAAACCAATTATACCGATCACACCCAAGGACCTCATTTGAGTGGACTCTACGGATTTGTCCTTTTGTGTCTGGCTTATTGTGCTCAGTGTCTTGTCCTCTGGGTACTGCTGTGGCACGCTGTCAGTGTCCCCGTCCAGGCCTGAAGGGCAATCCCGTGTATTCTTGTCCACTCACCAACACACACTGAGGCTCTTCTACCTCCTGCTGTATGAACATAGGGTGAGGATACGTTCAAGTGTCCCAGGCCACCCAGCCACCGCCCTCCTCAGGGCCGCTCCAGACCTACAGATCCATCCTTCTCCCCCGTCTTTGGAGTCTGTGTAACCGTGCAGCCACAGCTGTGCTGTCATTAGCCACGTCTGTAATCTGAATCCTTGGTGAAGACGGCCAGGTCTGCCTGTCACACAAGGCCCCAGAAAGAGCAGAAAACCACCAGGTTTAACACTCAGTATGATGAGATAATGTAAAATATCTCATTAATTTTTATATCAATTACATAGTGAAATGATAGCACTTTGGTCATATTGCTTTAATTAAAATGCTTATTGGAATTAATTTCTCCTGGGTTTTCGCTGTTTAATGTGGTTCTGAGAGCACTCTGGCATGCCTCGCCTGCCACTTGCAGCTCACGGTACATGCACAGACAGTGCTGCTTACACACCTGCAACTTGACCCTAGGGCACTGGAACACAAGGTGGGAAGTTTAAACATGGGGTAGGGGAAACAGAGATTGACTCAGGAGAGAGTCAGCTGGGCAGACAGCAGGTGCAGATCTGGCCCTCACCTCGCCGTATGGGATGGCACACACGGGATGGGGTGCCAGGAGTGAGACCAGCCACTATCCAGTGCTGTATGAACCCCCTCCACCCTTCCATTCCCTCACCCCACTTCCAGTTCCAAGTCTACAAGGACAGAAGACAGAAGTAGATGGTGCTGGACACCTAGGATGGTCCCGCGGTACCCTTGACGTCACACAGGACCAGAGTCCCTCCCAGCTCTGCTGAGGGGACACCATCTGTCCTACCCACCCTCTACCCAGTGCCTCCCAATCCCAGAACTGCTCTAGTGAGGGAACAGTAGGATGACAAGTTAATGAAGCGCTTGTCACACACTGGGACTGCTAGAGCACTGAGGGTGGCAGCAGCTGTCCCACCCCTGACCCCACCCTCCCCAGACCCACCTGCAACAAGATGGGGCAAGGAGAAGATATGGCAGAGAAGCCCATGACAAAACATGGCCCCCGTGGATATGGTACAAGGCAGTACTCTGAGGCCAGGCGTGTCTAACCAGGGCTTTTAAAAAAAATATTATTTTATGTGTACGAGTGTATTGCCTGCATGTATGTGAGTGCACCTATGTCGTGCAGTGCGGCGGAGATCAGAAGAGGGCTTTGGATTTTCCTGGAACTGGAGTTGATGGTTCGTAGCTGCCATGTGGGTGCTGGGAATCGAACCTGGGTCCTCTGCAAGAGCAGTCAGTGCTCTTAACCACTGAGCCAACTCTCCAGCCCCTAACCAGACCTTTCACTGACCCCTGCTATCCTTATGCAAAAGAGAAAGTCATGGGTCATTACATAGCATTATCTGTATCTCCTGTTCAAGAGCAGATGACTCCAATAATGCTACACACACACACACACACACACACACACACACACACACACACACACACACACACCCTAGAAACAGTGATGATGGTGAGCCTGTGTGACTGTGCATGCCACAACACTGTGGAGCTTAATCAGGGTTAGAGGAGCAGAACTCCCTCACCTGTCCTGTGACGCCCCATACCAGCTCACAGGTCTCCACTGGTTATGGGTGCGCAGTGCTCTGTATGTCTTGATATCGATGCCCCATACCAGCTCACAGGTCGCCACTGGTTACAGGTACACAGAGTTCCATACATCTTGATGATATGCCACACCAGTTCATGTTTATGTTTGACAGCGGGACAACATGACCATTTAGGAAGACACTAGTAGGTTACCCTCTAGAGAGGATGACTTCCTCAGCCATGGGTGTAGAGTACCAGGCATGAATTCTCTCCTGTGGAGCAGGCCTCAAACTCTCAAATGCTAGACTAAGTGTGCACCACCACGCCTGGCTAAAGCTGATCTCTTAACTGTATGAAGAGAGTAGCTGCGTTTCCTACGAGACAGGGACAGAGTCACAGCTGCCCCTTCTCAGCATTGAAAGCTGTAAGCCAGGGCAGCCAGCTGATTAGAGGCACAGAAACTGACAAAAGAGGAGCAAAGCTATAGGCAGATGACAGGGTGGTGTCTGGATAGCCCAAGGTATGGATGATAAAACCAACTTGGTGAAGAGGCTGGATAAGATTAAGAGACAAAAAGCCAACAGTCCTGATATACGAGAGGAAGTGGATGAAGTGGAGGAAAAGCCCATTTACAACAGCCACGAGGGAGACTGCTGAGGAATAGATTTAAGAGACATGCAGACCTCTACGATGGTATTTTATAGTCCTGAAAGGCACAAAACTCAAGTTGAGGAAACGGAAACGCTTCCTGGCCTTGGGTAGCAGGGCTGGACATCAACGCAAGTTTTCTCCAAACACACTCAGCATTTGCTGTTCTTCCGGAGGACTGGAATTTGGTTCCCAGTGCCTACATCAAGTGGCTTACAACTTCCTGTTTTTCTAGTTCCAAGGTCTCCAATGCCCTCTTCTGGCCTCACATAGACACTACACATAAATAAAAATTTAAAAATAAATCTTAAGTTTGAAGAAGCCCCTCTCCAAACCTTTATTTTTAATTATTTTAAATTATTTTTATTTTTATGTGTATGAGTGGTTTGTCTGCATGTTCATAAGTGCACTCACGTTGTGCAATGCCCAAGGAAGTCAGAAGAGGGTGTCAGATCCCCTAGAACTGGAGTTATGGAAGGTTGTTTGTTGTTATGTGGGTGCTTGGAACCAAACCTGGGTCCTCTGCAAGAGCACCCTGGTCTCCATAATGAGTTCCAGGCCACCTGGGGCTACAAGGAGACCCTGTCTCAAAAAGATCATATATGGAGCTAGAGAGATGGCTTAGCAGTTAAGAGCACTGACTGCTGTTGCAGAGGACCCGGGTTTGGTTCCAAGTACCCACATGGTGGCTAGCAACTATCTGTAACTCCAGTTCCAGAGGATCCAACACCTTCTTCTGACCTGTGGGCATTGTACAGCATGGGTGCACTTACACACATGCAGGCAATACATTCATACACATAAAATAATATTTTTAAAAGACTCTACATATATTAGTAGATTTACAGGCTACTTGGGGAGAAAAGTCATCAATGGTCTTACCCAGTCCTGGACACTACAAGCTACAATGCCCACTTGCCAGGCAGGATGGACCTGCTGGTGCAATAGTGGCACAAGTGTTGTGGGCGTGACCAAACCCTTCCTGGGAGGCAGAGGCAGGTGGATCTCTGTGAGACTGAGGTCAGCCTGGTCTACAAGTTGCAGGTCAGGTCAGCTGGGGCTACAGGGAGACCCTGCCTCAAAAAGAGAGAAAAAGAGAGCAGCTTTAAGTCTGAGGCAGATACCACGTGGCACACCAGGAATGTGTCCAACTGCCTGATGTAAGCAGAGGCATCTTTCTGCTGTGATTACGGACTGGGGACATCTTAAGTTCTTAATTTTGTTCCTGCTCAAAGCAAGCTTCCTCTCTAGGGACCCTCACTTTGCAGTGTTACAAAGCCAGGCTCGTTTGGCCAAGTTTAGCCAGGCCAGTATGCAAGAGATTGCCATCCCCCCTCCTAAGCCAGTTAAGGACGAGACTCTGCTGAGGTCAATGGTTCTACAATCCGAAGACCAGGTAACGTCAATCTCTTGGCCTTGTGAAACAATCCACCTGTGCTAAAAATGCTAGGTGTCAAGAGGCTTTTGAGGGTTATACAAGCCACTTAGTGTCTTTCCCTGGATTCCACTCGAGGAGCGTGCTGAGCCAGATGCTAACAAAAGAAGCTTCGCATCCATCCATCCACCTAACGGTCTGTATGTGCTGCTGACCTTCAAAGCTCAGGAGAAGGCTCATCCCTGGGACTTACAGAACTTTCACAGCCACCACTGTCCTGGTGCCCTGACCCACAGGGCTTGATGGGCGCAGCACATGGCTTCCTGGAGTCTCTGCTCTGGCTTCCTGGCTTCCCCTCTCCTGAGCAAGCACCCCGAGAGGAGCCGCAAAAGCTGCCTGCAATTTCAGACTTCAACCTTTTGCCACGGAACTGGAGCCAGCAAGGCTTAATAGCAAATGTAGGGCTTGTAATGTTCTGCTTCAAAAGTTGACAAAGCTTACAGGAGGCACTGAGCACCGCTCTGCTTTCATTGCACAGTAGGAAAATCGGCTTGCAAGTAATAGTACAGAAGCACACGCTCAGTAGCCTTCACTGTGGAGACCAGCATCCCCACCTCTCTGCTCCGGCCCTCTGTCAGTATGCCCAGCACAACTGTCTGGGTTCCATGCTTCCAGGCAAGGCCGTTCTAAACTGGAGAGCGCTTTCTAATGCTGCAGTAAGGGATCACGAGCAATTCTGACAAGTGTGACCAGAGACATCTCTATTAAAAGAAAACCCTGAGGAGGCTGGGAGACAGCTCAGCGGGTGAAGTGTTGGCCACACAAGCCTGACGACTGAGTCTGGATTTCCTAGAACCCACTAGAAAGATGCCCTAGGGCAAGTCTGCAATCCCAGCAGGCTGGTACAAGGAGGCAGACTCTCTAGAAGACCGAGAGTCTGTGTTCCAAACAATGTGGAAGGTGAAGACCAGCCAACACCTGTGGTTGTGCTGAATCCCACACGCCCACCAGGGCACGAGTATGCCCCCATCACACCCATGAACACACACAAATAAAACATTTAGAATCAAAAGTTAAGCGGGGGGGGGGGGCTCAGCTGCTCTTCCAGAGGACGCAGGTTTGATTCCCAGCACCCACACGGCAGCTAACAATTGTTTGTAACTCCAGTTCCAGGGGATCTGTGCTGGGTTGAGGGAGCCTCAGGTGGGGAATTGCCTCCATTGGACTGGCCTGTGGCCATATCTGTGGGGCACCTTCTTGATTATTGAGTGATGTGGGCGGGCCCAGCCCACTGTGGGTGGTGCCACCCCTGGGCAGGTGGGCCTGTGTTGCATAAGAAAGCAGGCTGAGCAGGGGCCAGGGGAGCAAGCCAGTAAGCAGTGTTCCTCCATGGCCTGTGCTCCAGCTCCTGCCTCCAGGTGCCTGTCCTGAGTTCCTACCTTGGGCTCCCTGATGAACTGTGACCTGGGAGATGTAAGTTGAATAAACCCTTTCCTCCCCAAGTTGGTAGTGGTCAAAGTATTTTGTCACAGCAATGGAGAACAAACTAGGACAAAGCCTAAGATTATAATTACCAGAGAAATGGAAGGCACACGCCAAAG